GCGTACCAACTCATCCTTGAGCCAAAAACATCGAGTAGTTTTACTCAACGCAGCTCCAAGGTGAAACCTTTGAAGGGGTCAGACACTTAGGCACTTAACAAAGGCTATGCAATTCACGCTCGCCCCCCGCCTAGTGTCGCCACACCTTCGTTCATGAATTAGGATCTAGCTCTGCGTCACAGACCGCTAGAGCTTGCCCTTTCACCGTTTTTGCTTGTTGCGGGCAACGGTACTGCTTTCTTGAATTGCCCAATCTGTACTTGACCTTCCGAATCGCACCACTTTTTCAGCCCGGTCAATCAAGTCTCTGGCGACGGCACCTTGAAGTGGGACTTCCAAGAGCACAGCGACTTCGTGATTCCCTCGACTTGCCGTTGTCCAATTCTGGGAGCCCACTATCGCATGAACCTGCTCATTGATGACAGCCACCAATGACTTCAAGCATAATGACTTCGCACGCAGCGCGCCAGGGAAGTTGGAGCAAGACCTGCCCACGGCTTGGTAGTGTGGCTTCAAAGTGTGACCGGTAGCATAAAGCACTTGAAGCCCAGTGGAGGTTGCTTGAGAAAGCACTCGTCTCTGTTCCTCATTCCGGCTGCTTTGAGCCCGGTCAATGATGACCCGTAGCTCGCACCCCGCGTCCTGCACTAACTTCAAGGCCACAAGAATCTCTGGTCTGTCTATTGCATATGCAGTAAACCGTAAACCAGATTCTTGCTTTCTCACCGGCGCTGGCGCACTTTTGAAAAATCTTCAAAGCTGATTCCTGGGCTTCAGTGGCATCTCGAAGAACTTGGACCTCATTCTGATCCCATTGTTTTCTGTTCACTGAATGCTTGGGTGAAGGGCTGTGTCCCTTGAGACCTTATTCGATTTACTGTTCTTCTGCGATACTTCAGGTCTTGGAGGCGACTGGGTCCGCTCTCCGACCTGGCCATCTGGGTTCCGGAGTACTTCTTGACCGCATCCCAGCATTGCCTTAGCTCTCAAAGCTGCAGTGCTTGGCCTCTTCAAAGGGGAGTTGACACGATCCTGTACTTGGCTGGGTCCGACTTCGAGACGGGGACCCTTGACCAGAGTGCCAGCAACTCGACTCTCTTGCTGACGGAGAACGACTGCAAGAAAGCTGGATCAGATAGGGGCCCCAAATCAACTCAGAACCAAATACGTCAGCCCCAAGCTGCTCAGCTGCCCATTTGTCGCGTCGGTTCGGCGTACCAACTCATCCTTGAGCCACAAACATCGAGTAGTTCTACTCAACGCAGCTCCAAGGTGAAACCTTTGAAGGGGTCAGACACTTACGCACTTAACAAAGGCTATGCAATTCACAAAGCAAGGACGCTACTAGGGGCTCCTGGCCTTATTACGAGGAGCAAGGACGCTACTAGGGGCTCCTGGCCTTGCTACTAGGAGCAAGGACGCAACTAGGGGCTCCTGGCCTTACTACTAGGAGCAAGGACGCTACTAGGGGCTCCTGGCCTTACCACAAGGAGCAAGGACGCTACTAGGGGCTCATGGCCTTACTACTTGGACTAGCCTTGCGGACAGGGGGAGGGGGCACCATGGATGATGCGGACGGCATGGATGATGCGGACGGGGTGCTCAAATGAAGCAAAGCACCCTGCTCTCCTTTTGCAGCTCTTACGGAACTATCATGGCATTCCTTTCATGCTTGACGGTTTTCCATTAAAATTCCCTTGAGGTTTCTCATCTTACCAAAACTAAACCATGTCTGAATCTCTGACTCATAAACAATCAACAACTCCCTGAAATCAATCTGTGTAAACAGGGTACCCCCTACGAAGCTATATATAACTTGATATAACTTGTCCCCTTGGTAAAGCTTTGTATAAACCCCCTTTCAGTGTTTTTAGTGTTTGGATCTCTCATTGTTTTATTATATGGTTTCTTCTTTGTGTTCATTATGTGTTATGGTCATCTCCAAAAGTTAAAACCGTATAGTGATGGCGTTTGTGCGTTCACGCCCCAAACAACAAAAGCCATCAACAACTGCCCCAAATCAATCTGTATATACAGGGTACCCGCCAGTCCCTTCAGTATTGAGAGTCAGGAAGACAGCCAGAGAATGGTTTAGTTGATTATGTGTTTTGTGATGTTTATTGTTTAAATGAAAAGTTTATGAAAACTAATTGGTCCTCTTTTTTTTGGAGAGTCCATTTTTATGATGCTTTAATGATTGCGTGTGTGTGTGTGTTTTTAATGAATTATGTTATGTGTTTTTGTTTTTAAATATAGTTTGCTTTTTTATGTGTTTAAATGTGCTTTTTTGTCATGATGTTCACCAATCGACAAAAATTATAACATATTCATTTCAACAACTCATAAAATAGTAACTTGTTTCATTAACAAAAGAAACCAAAAAAAATTTATGAACACATTATGAACATTTTATGATTTGTTTCTTAAATGAAAAACAAGATGGAACCCACGAACCCGAATGCAAACACGATCGAAAAACTAATATGTCCAAAGGACACTCTTGTAGGACACTCTTGCGGGACACTCTGTAGGACACTCTTGTGGGCCACTGTAGGAAACTCTTGTGGGACACTCTTGTAGGACACTCTTGTGGGACACTCTTATAGGACACTCTTGTGGGACACTCTTGTGGGACACTCTTGTGGGACACTTTTGTGGGACACTCTTGTAGGACACTCTTGTGGGACACTCTTGTGAGACACTCTTGTAGAACACTCTTGTGGGTCACTTGCAGGACACTCTTGTGGGACACTCTTACACGACAC